ATGCAATTAAAGCAAAGAATAACAAAATAAAACTGACTAGACAAACTATTATATAATATCGTTGTTAGCTACTGTCGTGTCCGAACTCACACCATTCTAAGACAGAACAGAGACTGAATTAGCATAAAATCCCGTACTACGGAACTGGATTTAAATCTTAAATGTTATTATATGAATTCACAGCACGAAACTGAAAGGTGTGACTTTATGCACATAATTTGTTTGGACGTGGACAGTAAAGCTTATAAAACTAACGCACAAGGTATTTGTTAAGATAAAGAAATAGCAGCTTTAGAACCAAGCAATTACATCAAAGACATCAAGAATATAAGATTAGTAACCTTTCCAGACAATCTTCTACTCGTTACAAATCTTCTTACTAATATTATAAATGCGAATGATGAATGGATGAATGTTTGTTCGAAGGTATCTTCAGGACGGCTGTACAGATCTCGATAAAATTTGGCATACATATAGAACGTAGACTGGAATAATAAATCGGCTACTAATTATGTTTTTTTTTAATTCCGCGCGGACGGAGTCGCGGGCGAAATCTAGTTTAAAATAAAGGTATTTTCGTAAACAGCAAACCTTTCTGTGTCAACAACTCTATTTCTCTACTGAATTTGCCGGAAAATACCATATCGCGTTTACTTCAAAATTAGGATAGATAGCTATAAAGTTATGCATAACAATTATTTCATTACTCTTGCAATAAATAACTGGGCTCCAATTAAATATCGCGAATTGACGTTGTGGTCACTAAGAGATCAGATTGCACACCATATAAGTGCAGACCCCAATCGGCTAGCTAGAGGTCTCTAGTGGCCACCAGGAGTGCATTTCAAATCGCAAATTGATTCATTAGATTTGTGATTAACCCCGCGCTCCGATCCTTCCGTCCGATATGCAAAATGCAACACGATATCTCTTCTATGATAAGATTCGATTTTACATATACGTTTAAAGAACCATAAGTTTGTTGAAAAAAATCCGGACAATTCCAACATATTTTTTTTATTAACAAATCTGGCCGATTGAAAACTACAGATTACAAGTTAGAACTATTCTGTTGTTTGAACTCAATCATACAATATAAAGGTAAATTATAACGCCAATAATATTGTCACTTTAATAAATAAATATTTGAAAGTTATTTAGATTCAACTGAAAATGATTTTGTAAATCCAATAATGCTTTGCTTCTCTACATACATTTATACAAAATCCCTCAGTGTATGTTATAACAGGATTACGATTCAAATTAGAGCGAAGACTGTCCATAAGACTTTATTAAACCATATACACCCGTTCACACGGTGACCGCAAAAGCGAACGTTACCGCCGCGCCGTAAGACTGTTGTAACCGAACGCGTGCTGTCCGCAAACGCGACCTACATAACGTGTAACATGATGTTAAGTGCACGCCAGCGGTACATGTGTAAACCATTACACATGTGTAAACAATTACACATTACACTTTAGTCGCTAGGTCCCGATAGTCAAAGATCTTATTCCACCAATTGCCTACAACCGCTAAATTTTATGAGATCATTGACCTCTTTTGACTACTACTAGTATCATTAGTGTTCTTTTGTGTATACTGCTAGCATTCTTAATATATGTAGGCGTTTGAAAATATTGTACCTAGCGAACAAGCGGCCACTTCGGCTCCCAGAACCTACCAAATAATATTTATATTCAAGAACGCCTCATCATACTTCAACCGTCAACAAATCCTGAGGGTAGGGTGGGCTCCGAGCCCCTCGGTGGGGATATATAGTGAGCTGATGATGATGAAGGTCTTGAAGAAATAATTTCAAGGAAAATACCTTAGAACAATTGTAAATGTTCCTCACATCATACAGTAAGTTATATTAATAATAAACGTTATATTTCCAGCAAACCATATACGGTATGATCTATTATCACTGACAATTATAATGAACGTTATTGAATAAGACAATGCCACTGTTCAGTTAATTGACGCAATCGTACAATCGTGATTAAAATTGTTACAGTTATGCGTTGAAATCGTGAAATTATTTAACATCCTGTTATCTACTTTATTCATTTTACACAACTAATGATAAAGAAATTTAGGATAGTTTGCATTTAGAATTTAACAAAAAATATTCAACTCGTTAAAACTAAAAGGTTGGTGGAGACACATTTGGTCCTCTACAAAATTATTTTGATAATTATCTAACAAATAAAAAACAACATAAAATATATTAATTTTACTGTTTGTAATCTTATATAATATATAAAATTCTCGTGTCACAATTTTCGTTCCCATACTCCTCCGAAACGGCTTGACCGATTCTCATGAAATTCTCTGAGCATATTGAGTAGGTCTGAGAATCGGCTACTATCTATTTTTAATACTGCGTGGACAGAGTCGCCAGCTACAGCTAATTAACCTATATAATGTTCAATATTAAAACAAAAACCATCAAAGTAAATAACATAGGTTATGAAAATGACTAAGTCGTGCCAGTCTGTAACGAACGATCAATTGAAATCTTTAAGATCAAGGACATCATTTTGTCGTCTTGTTGTATATTAGAATTTACATTCACCTGTGACCAACAAATTGCCAATAAAATATATAAATTTGGAGTCAACTCAATCAGAATTTCAATAACATGTACCACAAGTAGAAAACATAATCATACTCGTATATTTAAGTTAAAAGTGATTTAAAACAAAAAATCCTTTACAATAATATGAGGCCAAAAATTGGTCCTCAAATTTAGAAAAAAAAATTGAGACGACACTTGTAGGAAAGGATAATCTAAATGGAAATTCGTACACAACGCATGCCCTTGTAGCTAACAGTTAAAGTGCTTGCATTAAACACCTTTAAATACTATTATTGTAACTAAAATGAATGCGGAACTATGACGTCATACGCCAGCTATAATAACGGGAATATCACGCGGGCCGATTTCTGTAAAGCAAGTCCAAATAAACGCCACCGCCACGAAACATAATTGTACCCATTTCTGACACTCACGACGAGCTCAATGGACTGTTATTTGGCTTCCTACTCATCTATTATGTACTCTTAAGTAATAAATCTTTGCGCATCGACTAATTTAATACTGGTAGATTTTTTCATTTTAATTTTTCATATTTCAGATCGCTCTTATTTATGTCTAGGTTAAGTTATATTGTACTTCCATTGAATGCCATTTCGTTTATCTTTTCCTTCTTTCTTTTTGATTTTTTGAATTGAAAACGACGTTGAATTAAGGTTCGGTATGATACAACGGTTATTGAATACTTTAATAATTTTAATCTAGGATTTAGATTCGCCGATCTTGAAAGGACGAGTGCAACATTTAGTTGGAACTTTGTTTTAATTCAATTTTACTTCAAGTTGTCTAGTTCTAGAATAATCAACATTGTAAGCGTTATAGGTAGCCATTAAGAGCGATGTTCCGCTTAACATCCTTATTCATACAATTACAGTAATAACAGTGAAGCATCGGAAGCGAAACGTGAAAGATAACTCAACGATAGTCCTTAGAACGGTACCTTACTATCGGGATCTGTGTTCGAATCGCTTATCACCAATCGCCACGATTGGAATTTAAAGTGGGGGATATCGCCTCGCGAGGGAATCTCCTACACCGGTCTAACATTAATGATACCAATTTGATATACGAGTAGCTAAGGTGTCTAACTTAATTAATACATAGCAATTTTATCAAGGCATCTCATAATTCCTTGTGTAGTATAAATAACGTTCGATTAGATGTGACAGCACTCAGACAAAAAGTCATCGTACAAGTACGACTTTTTCAAGATAATCTCAATAGATTCTTAGAAAATGTATTTTTATTAATTTTATTGTCATGAACATGATGTTCCTCCCAACAATATTGAATTCTTACCATCATTTATATTCATGACAATGCCAATAGCAATTCTTAGTCCTAGTTTTCGAGATTTTGTACAATTTTGCTGACACTGTAAATGGCCTATTTAGGAATTGAAATATAACAAAGTCGTATTAATCTATATTATATCTGCTTATACATGAAAACTAGTCCATATTAAGAAATATTAAAGACATTTGTAAAGTAAAAAAAATATCAGAAAAAAAATATATATGAACATCTTTTCCCTAATTGAAAACCAAATACGAAGACACTTTAAAAGCAAATTTAGTTGCTCAAGACGTGTTAAATCATAACCGCTCCCCTCCCTTCCATCACTTATGTTTCACAAACAAAACAAACAAGAGATGCACGTTCTCGTCACGTCTAAAACGGCCATCGAACCCGCCAGCACCGAGCACCGGTGTTCGGTGTTCACTGAACAGGTACCCGAATTTGGGACGAAATGAATATGTGCATTTTCAATCACTGTTTTATAAGCATAAATTTTTTTTAAGAATTTGGGTATAAACTTTAATTTGCTGCTTGTTAGCATTTTGCAAATCTACTTTAATGAGCAATACAAATAAAACATTTTTAAACAACGTTTATTGCAAAGAAGTAAGGTTGAAATCACAACATCGAAAATAAACAATTAGAAGAGACTAAAAGTCTACAGAACAATTGTTAACAGTAACTTTATCAAAGAAAATAAATTAATCCTATAATAGTTTGATAAACTGATTACGCATAGACTGACCGTTAATCTGGATGTCGAGATATAGAACGACGTCGACTTGAATTGATGGTAGTGGTCCGTGGACATTAAATTATTGCAAACAACAAAAGACGAATAGTTAAGAGAAATATATTGAACAATGGATTAACTGCTATAGAAACGAAATTGTATGGATGCCGTATAAATGAATCGAGTGATTGACAAATAACATTGATCGAGGCATTATTATCAAAGAATGAAATAATTTATAACGATAACGATGTAGATAAGTACGATATAGTCCCGTAAAGTGCTTAAAACTGCCGTAAGTAAACTATGGAGGCCAAATCATAAAGAGTTAGTGATTCAAAAATATTTTAGCTTATACATATTATGTCAACTGTCTCGCTGCACGCTGTTATAAGACATTACCAGAAATTATGAATATTAACACTAGGTTTACGGGCGTTTCTTATATACCTATCTCTACGAGCATCCGTCAAATTGACGGGTGGATGAAAATACGTATTTATTTTTAAAAAATCAATTTATTCAAACTAAATCTGAGTTTAACAATATAAGGCTTCACGTAAAAATAAAATACTAATAAGTCAAATTTTTTGTTAAGTTATTATGAAAATGATAACAATAATATAAAGGCTACATAATCATATTTATCGAGGACATTTTTTACATACGTATTGAATTTCTTTTGTGCATTTCCCGCATACGATATTTTTACAATACATACAGCAATTACTGCTTCTATTTTTATTACAGTAGCCCACTTGGCAACTTTTTCGCACTCCCGATGTTGAAGGTGGCCGATCTGAAACGTCTGAACTGTGACGAACGTTCTCCTTGTTTTTTCCAGTTAATTCATCGGCTAAAGAAAATATAAACTCCTTTCTGGATATTTTCGATCCGGTACACTCTTTGTACAATATCCACGCGTTTATCGCTGCCAAATCTAAAATATTATAAAAAACCTGGAGAGGCCATCGAAAACACCCTGCTTTCACACTATATTTGCGTGCCATCTGGTCCGCGACATCGACACCAAACTTTGTTTTATTATAAAATGTAATAGTTTCTGGAACACATTGTATCTCGGAAAAAAGAAGGTCCCCATTTTTTGGACCATAGATAAGATACTTTCAATGCTCTTACTTCGTACGCGCCCCGGGCATATAGTATTGCTAGAAAACTACGTAATTCGGAAACTGTAATTCTCCAGTCGTTCTTCAAAACTCGACGTGCCTCGGTTTCGGTGCAGTCTTTTATATGTTTCATAATGTGAGCGTCAATTATCAATTCAAAAGCACTAGTTACACAACCCGACATAATATTTCTTTTTGTGTAACCAGTAGGCCCTACGATATCCTTGAATATAGTATGAACGGACGGCCTACCCCTAGATTTCCCTGCTTTCAGTCTCACCCACCGTGTCCCGTCAACTGCAATTTCAATTTCTTCCATTACATCTCTGGATGTACTTGAAATACTCGTCCTCTCATCCTCGGTGTCAGAACTAGAAATAATCCGCCTCCTTTTCTTGTTACGACGTATATTGAAGAGGTTTTCCTCTTCACTATCCGAAGATCCTTCCATTTCTGCAGTTTCGGTGGATTCAGAATCTTTACTGTAATCATCACTTTCACCTAATTCATATTGATCTTCTTCGTAGGACACCTCAGAACAATCCTCATTGATGTTGGTAATTGTTGTCAATTTCTTATTATATCGCGTGTTTCTACTCATGATTGCTAGAAAAGGGTGATCGGTGAAAGTAAAAAATACCGTGCAAAATTCAATTACCCTATTATAAAAACTTACAATAAGCGGGTGACTACAATAACCAAAACTTTTGCACACTGTCTTCAAAAAATGTTCTTACCACGGTCACTGCAGCGACTATACTGAAGACAGCAGGGATTATCGCAGATTCATATCGCAGCCTAACGTCGGCTACCGCAGGCTGTGAAAGTTCTTTGTGTGTGTTGTTTATGTTTGCACCACTGAATATCTTTTCGATACGACATTTAGTCTGCTGCACGCTTTGAGTTTCGAATAACGCGAGGATTTGACACCCGGGCTACACAATTCGTTATCGAGGCGCTATTGAGATTATGAGTTGGGGGGTCTTAGACCTTTATTTCAGTCTTATATTTGCTATTGGAGGTATAATTTTACAAGCGAAGCAAATATATAAGGATTGTTGACGCAATCAGCTAACCCGTCAAATTGACGGGTTCCGTTGAAATAGGTATACTAGGTACAATTTTCAAAATTTATAAAGCTTAGGATAATAATAATTGTGCGTATAAACTCATTAAATGAAATTATAAATTTACGATGCAAAATAGTTAAGATTAATGCTATGGTTTTTTGCGTGTTTCATTTCAAAGTTTGAAATCCGTCAAATTGACGGGTCCCGTAAACCTAGTGTTAAAAAATGATTTATAAGGTATTGAAATATAATTTTGACAAATAAATAACAAAGCACATATATTACAAGCAGTTATGGTGATATATAATATATTTAAAACTAAAACACGCTTTTTTATAACCACGTTGACGACCATAATATGGATCACCTGCACTCAAAAGATTAAACAAGTGTTTAATTAAACAGTGTCCAACTGTATTTTTGGAATAATATAGTATGTATTTAAAATTAAAATATAGCATTAGAAAGATGTTATCGGATTTTATAAATGGTTCTTAAAAACTGAACCAGAGCAGTGAAATAGCAAACCAGTTTTCCCATCGTATAATATTTAACAAATTCCGTTGCGTTAGTTTAGTTGACGGCTTTTCTATAGCCTATACCGTATTTAGGAATGTAGATCAAACTGGTGATCCTCAATCTGTATATGAAATTCATTCAATGGGACTTAAGATGTAAAATGGTCAAAAAAAATTTAGTACTATATTTTATGACACGTTTTAATTTGGTAAAATGATACTTTCTGAATGGCTTTCACACGCTAACGACAAATACATATGATTGTGCAATATTTTCCTCATGTGCCTGATCGGCGAATTCTCGCTAACCATTTCAAAATATTTTAACTTGACGAAGTGTTTCGGCAATCATGGCTCAAGCAGTCCTTAATTACCTTCACTTTTATCAATTTACATTTCAGTTCTTTAAATTAACTTTTCCTCTTTGATCATTAGAGTTCCGAAAGAGAGTGTTTTCCAAATTGTACCTAGATTTAAACAAGATTTTCAGTTTAACAGTAAAATGGGAACTGAATCCGAATTGAACAAAATTTGCAAATTCATAATAAGGATACTTGAAAGTGTAGAAGGTATTGTAAACCTCAAATTTACGCAAGGAAATCGAAACCGTTGTATATTTCCTATCAACGCGCCGCAATGTAACCTCAACCTCCTTTGTCTACGTGCAAGCCAAAACCGATTTCAGTACTTAAACCCAACACTCAAACCACTAAACACTAAAACATGGAAACAAATACCACTAGTATCAGGTAATTTCCCTCTGAACCTTACATAACTGAATAGATACAGTTTCATCGTAATAAAGCGCAGATATTAAGTCTATTGTTCTTTCTAACTTTTCTTTTATGTGAATAATAAGTATAACATAATTTATTGTATTATAATTATTGTCCATTAAACCGATTATTACCAACAATACCCAACCAACTAGAGTGTAGGCATAAAAGCAAGAAAGGCTTCCGTCTCTTGAAACTAACCTAGCTTCTACAAAGAACATTTTATAAATTTGACACAGTCCTACTTATTTTAGCACGCTACTATATCAAGTTGCAACATTAACGAAATCAATTTTCAACATAGAATTTATAGTTCCAATTATAAATTTCCCTTCGCTGTGTTCTGTAATGCAATCGAGAATAGGTTACAGAAGCATTATCACTTAGTAACTGGGGCATAGTCACACCGTTAACTCAACAAAACGTGAAAACGATAACACACGACCAGGTAATTTTAACATACGTTCTAGATTTAAACTAGCAAATAAAGTAACTTGAAGATGATGTAGATGAAGACCAAAGAAAGAATGGATGGATTGTGTGGAAGAGAATATGCTTAAGAATGGGGTGAGTTCAGATATAACGGCTGATAAAGGTGTATGGAGAAGTACGTAAAACTGTGCCGACCCACCATAGGAACTAACTAACCCTTAAATTGGCTATCGTTGAATCGTATCGAGAAGTAAGAATTATTTACAACATGAACCAATTTTTACAAACAAAATATTTACAAGATAATAGATGTAGTTTACAAAGGTAAGATTCGAAATAAAAGGTTTACGTCCGATTTTGAGCTTTGCATTGGAAAATCTAACTATTCTGCTGAATACATCAAAATTAACTTATATTATTGTTAAGTAACATATCATAAGGAAACCAATATCTATTGTTATGCTTAAGCAAACTTTCTTGCAAAATGACTATTCAAAGTGTAACAGTTGTTACACTATTAGTCGTAAAATACCTTATTAGCTGTGAACGCTTGCGTTTGCCGAGAGATTAAGTTAATGCGATTTGAGAATAGCGTGCGGAGCGCCGGTACGTGTGGTCCAAATCAATTTGGTAGTCAATGAGACAATTTAGTTAATACAATGCATTGTTAACTGAAGCAATGTGTGGTTTAATATTACATTATTTACTTTCATCTTGTGAAAATGTCTAAAGGGAATAACTTGGAGAACAGTTTAGAAGTATATGCTTCCATATGGTCTTCTAATTATTTTGACTTGAAATGAAATCTGCTTTGAATCATTCTGTTATTAGATATCCAAAATCATGAGTCACTTCACCCCCATTACTTTATTTCTTACTTCTTTGAAATGTTAGGAAGAAAGTCCGACACTATGTCGGTGAATCGGCGCTACACTAAACTTGGACACTTACCTTGGTAACGATAGCGCGCCATTCGCCCCAAAATATTTTAACTAATAATGTCTTAAATTAAAAATATCTTACGCCTACAGGTATGTTTTATAAGTAACTAAAATCGTTATAAAATCAGTATTCGCATCTACAACCAGCGATTGAATGTCATCCTTCTGATAACAGTTTGATGACAAAAAATATACTTTAAAAATATGCTTAAATTAATTAACACATTCAAACATCATTGCTGTCTTACTTGATATCAAATAATTTGTACCGTGACATTTGTATAGTTGTTAAGCAAAAAGTATCCATTGTGAACCAGATTTAATTCGCGGCTGATTTGTATTCTATTTTTTGTAAAATGTAAGAAGCTTAAGAGATAAGTTCATTCAAATTTAATTAGATTTGTATCAACATGTTAACACGATAACTTACGGTCATTGTATTGTGGATGCACTAATTAATTCGTACCTATAGTAAGGAGCAAAGGTTTTATTAGAACATCCTTAGTAATTGTCAGATAGTAAGAACAGCTGTCGACCGCGTAGAATATAAAAATCTTAATAAGTAGCCTATGTGTTCTTCCAGACTAAGTTCTACATCTGTGCCAAATTTCATCAAGATCCGTAGAGCTGTTCTACATATATAATACCTTTGAACAAACATCCATCTGTCTAAACATTCGCATTTATAATATTAGTGAGTTCAAAAGATAGTTCTAGATGAAAGCTGTTAAGTATCTGACACAAAAAAATTATATTATTTTTACCTAGTTATTGCACAAAATATGTGCGATCTAAGTATGGCTTTACTATGGAACATTCTGTGTTCAAAGATTTTGTGATTGCATTGTTTTAGATTGTAAGAAACAGAAGCATGTATTTTTGTAGTATAACATTTTCAAATCCCTTGCTTACCAATTTACACCAAGCTATTGTGAATTCTACACCGTCAGTCCACTCGAGACATCTGTAATTCAAAAGTTGCAATCTATTGATATAATACAACAGGCTTGCAACAAGACACCGCCAACAAAAGCCCGCGGGTACGTTGGTAACACCTACAAATAACCGTGGACGAACTGTTCCAACCATCAATACCAATTTGCTAACGTTTATGTGTTTACGACATTAAACCTAACCAAATAGAGAACAAACTGTAATCCGGACATATACGTTTGACATTTAAATGTGATATCTATAAAATAATCTATTTTAAAAAAAACACACCTGTTCTCCAAAGCAGCATAAAATCAAAACAGTAAAAGCGATTTGATATCACAAACTGACAATAATCCTGCCACTGTCATAAATTATAACAAGTCCGTAATGGAGCAATCGGGAGCACCAAAAGCCTCATTTCCGTACATATCCTTATGTGGAACCGGAGCTGGCTATAAATCATATAAACCATGACAATATAATCAAATGAATTAATTCTGTCACTCGAGGAAGCGTGGGTCGCGGTATAATTTCTCAAGCTTTGAGCCCGCCGTCGGCACACCCTAATCTTTGCCCAACAGGGCATTCATCCATGTAGATTAAATGCCATAATAGGTCCATTATGTTCTAGAACATGTTTGCACAACAAATTTACATTCCGGACTCACCTAAAAGTTGCTGTTTGGTCTCATAATCGCACCGCCATCTTGAAATCTGAAAACAATAAATTTACTTACGTTAATATTGTAAATTACCAGTAATTGGTATCGATTGAAATTCTATACGAGATATGCAAGAGAGAAATAACTAAGATACCTGTAGAGTGCTACCGTAAGTTCCACTCCCAAGCTCTTTTCCTTGATTTAATATGATCATGTTTTATGATGTCATTTATTTTACATTTTAATCTACACTAATACTCATTAATCACTCGTTTACTAACTTTAGCTAATAACGCCGAGAAAATCTGTGGCATTTTCAAGCAAAAGCCTAGCCTAAATCAAAATCTATCCTCCTTTTTATTAACTCGTGGCTTTTTGTAATAGAAGTAAGAATGTTACCTGTGTAAAAAAATAAGTCAAAAAGAACATGTTAATAAATTTGACGACTGAAGAACTTAAAGCTTATAAAATTTATAGCAATGATAGCAATAAAGCGTCAATAAATTCAACTAACAATCGCCGCACCATACAGGCAATGAAAGGAATGAAAGGATAAAATCATAGCAGTCCACGTATACTCGCGAATCTGATTCGAATGAAATATACAGAGCCGAGCTATTTGAACTCAAGACGGGTACATTAGATTACTATGGGAAGAGGAATGACTTTTTGCATTAGAACGCGCCTAGCCGGTCGGCCGAGTCCACAATAATTTATACAGAGCAAAAGCTTCGATGCAATCTGTTGCTGAGCCGCGACACGGACA